AAGAAAGAAAGAAAGAAAGAAAGAAAGAAAGAAAGAAAGAAAGAAAGGGAGAGGGTGAGGGGGAGGAATGAAAACCCTGAAGTTGGTCCAAGAATTTATTTCATGCTGTGATGAAATATCTTTTGGGTCAGATAACCATTAACTAATCTAGCATTCAAAGGTACATTTTGTTCTAATGCAACAATCTTGCTCTACTTTGCAAAACAAAAACAAAAAACAACAGAAAAAAATTATTTCTCTTCGTTTTATTTCTTAATGGGGCTGGAGTAAAATTAGTTAATGAGATTAATATTTTCAATTCTGAAAGTTATACTGACCTGCTATCCCATTTTGAAGGTTAGTACTGCAAGTTCATACTGCAAAATTATACAGAAACGAAACAATGTGCATCTACGGTTTTGTACCTATTTATACACATTAACCTGCTCTTCATAATTAACAACTGATTTTAAAGCCAGGATATAAATATACTTAAGGTGCATTCATCCTCAAGTCTATTCCCAAATTGGTCTTTTCCCATATGTTTTTATGGATCAACATTTTATGGTCTTCAATCCTGTGGGATTTAAGCCATGGTTTTTATTTTAAACATTCATACACAAAATATTTGCATTACCAAGGCCAAAAACAGCTTTCTGAAAGCTACCAATAGATTGACAGAAAGATTCAGCTATGGAAAAAAAGAACTTTCATGGTTTGTGTGTTACACATAAAAAATGTTGGCCTGATCAGTAACCATGATATTTTTTTTAGCCTTTATTAGATATTCATGCCTATCTCAAACATAATTTGTTTGGAAGGGAATAGAGATCCAAAAATCTCGTGTGTTAGCTTTCTTCTTCTTTAGTATTCCTTGCACAATGCTGGAGAACCTAGGACCTTGTGGAAGTATAACTTCATTGATCTTGGCCTATTTGGAAGATACAGATAGTCCTTGACTTATGAACCACAGTTGAGCCCAAAATTTCTGTTGCTAAAGAAGAAGGTATTTCAGTGGCCTTTCCCCTCTTTCTAGCCATAGTTATGTGAATCACTGCAGTTGTTAAGTTAGTAACATGTTTACAGTGCTGGCTCTTGGGCTCTGAATCGGAGATGAGCACTGCCCCTAGGGCTGGAAATGACTAGCATGTATGTGCGAAGGGAACCTTTACCTTTAACTTCAAATGGTCACTAAACGAATGGTTGTAAGTCAAGGACTACCTTTAATGAAAGTTGTACTCCAGCAGGATTTCTGGAAGATCACAGATCTCCCATCCCTGTTATAAACTGCTGAATAAATACTTACACCAACAAGCTTTTATGTCAGAGTTTAGAGCTTAGTGATAGGCTTAGTAATTAGTAATGTCCAAAAAAATGAAGTAATAAACTAATAGCGTCAGGGTGAATACTTGAAGCTCATCTCTAAGCGTGATCTTATACCTAAAATCTGCTTCCTTTTAAAGCTACTGTGGGAAGTTAAAGCCCACCTAGAAAAATGAAATATTTTAGGAAATATTAAAAGGGCAGAATATTTCCCCTGAAAGGGAGGCAGAAACTCAGCCCTCCCACCTTTGTTAATGGGCCAGTCTATTCTACATAACAAAGATCTAGGAAGAGCCATTTAATTGCCCTTCATTGCATCACCCACCAAGTTTCAACCAAACTTAGCAAACAGACAACCTACAAAGCTAGCTAGGACCCCCTGACAGCAACCAATCAGGATACTCTTCCTGTGCCCCAGGAAGTACAAAGCCAGAGTGCATATAACCCAGGCACTCTCAGCATCTCTTCCCATTTTTTCACCCAAGATCTCCAAGGCATGTGATCCTGTTCATCAATTAACCACCTTTCCAAGTAACTTCCATGATTCCAGTGTCTTTTTCCCCACTTGGAACTGAACCCAGAAGGATGTTTCTTCCAACACTACACAACGATCACGGGGCATTCCTTCCATTATTTTTGTCCTAAAAAGAAGAAGAGGCACATCCTATTCCTCCCCCACCCTCCCCAATTAACAAGAAAGAAATAAAAATGCTTGAAAGCTGACCCTTCTTTTATTTGAAAGCTACTCTATTTTGAGGGCTTTTAGCACGTTGCAGTAATGTATCAGGAAATAAAAGTATTTCTTGATGGAAGGCAGAGCCATTCCCACAATGCACAATTAAATGGCGTGAGCTAATTTTCTTTTTTTCTTTTTAAAAAGGTATGATTTCTCATCACTCTAATGAGACAACATTATCGCTGCTGAAAATGTCAGGGGAAAAGAAAATAGTCAGACCAGAAAATCAGCTGGCTAAAATTACTCTCTGAGAACTTCTTCATTAGTTTTTGCAGCAGATCCATTAGCAAAGGATGTTGAAGTCGCCGCCATCTTGGAATCTCAATTTTTCCCCACCTCCAGTATAGTTTCCCCAAATCTTCCTTCTCTCTATGGCCGGGTTCACATGAACCATAAACCACTGTGTGAAAATCACAAGCTATTGTGTGAAAACTATTTTGTGAAAACCAAATTATAAATTAACAATGGGAGATTAGTTTATAATTTACACAATCATTTCTACAGGACAAACTGAAATTAAACTGCTTTGTAAACTGTGGTTCAGTGTGTTGTGGAAATACAGCTGAAGTCTCTCTAAGTTATTAACTGAAAAAGATAAAAACAGCTGTAAAGTCATTAAATGGCTAAACAATGAAGTGATAGAAACAAAAAATGTTAGAATGTGTCTTTTCAAGCCTGTGTTTTCACAGTGCTCTAGTCCAAAATATATTTGGTTAATTTATGGCTTATTTTGTTGTATGGATCTGGCCAATCTGGAAAATTTAGTGCACAGTTCAGTCAAACAAACAAACTTTGAATATTGATTTAACTTAGGAAACCAGAGGTCATTTAACCAAGGTTATGTGCTGGATGTAGCAGTTATTATCTCTTGAAAGAAAGATATGCTTTTTAGCAGTGGTGGTATTCTACCATTTTGGACTGGTTCTGCTGAGCCGGTAGTGCCGATGAGCTGTGGAGACCGAACTGCGGCACATCAGATTGACACGCGTCAGCTGCTGAAGACACAGGGAGGTGAGTCAAAATGCCTCTGCGCCTGCACAAAGTGCATTTTTGGCACGCGCACACACACAAAGTGTGTGCACTACTAAGCCATGCCCACCAAACCAGTGGTAAAAATTTTTTTGAAACGCACCATTGATTTTTAGCGTCATCTGCTGTTGTGGCATCTTCACAACTTGTTAATCATATACACTAGCCATTTCCACACTGTAATAGCCAGTAATTTGCATAGAGATTGTTTTGAGGAACTAAATTAGCCAATGGACCTTACTTGTGTAAACTTTGGGTAGAGCAAAGGTGTCCAACCTTGGCAACTTAAATACCTGTGGACCAACTCCCAGAATTCCTCAGCCGGCACGGGGAATTCTGGGAGTTGAAGTCCACAGGTCTTAAAGTTGCCAAGGTTAGACACCCCTGCTGTAGAGATCCCAAACCAGACAGGAAGGAAAATTTTCAGAAGGGAAGAGTTTCTTGGAAATTTAGCACTGAAGAAGGACAAGGAGAAGTTGTTTAAATCAAGAAAAGTACCTCCTCCATGGCTTCATTATGATGCAACATTTTGCACTCCAAAACCACACCTTCCTTTTCCTACTTCCATGTCCTTGTACCAGACTTGACATGGCACTGCACAATTGTTTATGAATTCTCAGGACCACCATGTTTCACCCAAGGAGTCATATCACAGTCTCAGTTAATGGGAACTCCTCAGATATCTTCCTCAGGATCTAAGACTTTCTTGAACTTAGACTGAGTTCCAGGTTCTTCTTTCTTCAGTGACATTTGATGCTAATGTCAATGTCTAACCCCAGTGACTGGCAGAGCTTTGGCTTGGCCAAGGAATAGCATGGTTAGGAGCTCCACAGTTTGCTCATGAGGAGTCCATAATTTGCAGCCACGTCTGCATGAGCATCCAAGATAATTTTCAAAAAGGAGTATTTCCGGTGACTTGCATCTCCTTGGGAGAGGACACTTCTGTCTTTGGACTGATATTGGACAACTTGATGTCAGGCACTTCGCCAGTTTTGATGTCCTTCATCATTTGATTGCCTTGCCTGCAACGTTTTATGATTAAAGTGCAAAGGATGATATAAAGGAAGACGCTTCCAAATCTTAGTGCAGTAATGACCCCAAGGTAGACATTTCTAGGAGGAAAAACAGAGGGAGAAGAAGCTGAGTTGGAACAGAGCAGAAATGTTTCCCAGAAGAATTTATCCCCTTTGGAGATCAATAACAACCTTAGCCTTTCAGAAGATTCAAAGCCTACAATATTCACATATCAGGCAGTCGTGTTTTGTGCAATAACGGTTTATTTAATAAACTACAATTAAAGAAGTCCAAATCAGAATATCAACAGTGGCTAAGTTCCATAGTGCAAGTCTGCTTAGTTTGGGTTTAGTGTGTTGTGTGAATCCACCATAAAATTACGGAGCTGTACTGCAGTCTCACTTCATTCTTTTCTCCTATTCTTTTTCTTTCCTGTCCATTTCTTTCTAACAATGTTCTTGCCCTTGTCCTTTCCTTCCTTCCTTCCTTCCTTCCTCCCTTCCTTCCTTCCTCTCCCTTCCTCCCTCCTTCCTTCCCTTCCATCCATCCATCCATCCATCCATCCACTCTCTTTGCCTTCCTCCC